ATGTGTCTATTATACGGAAACTGTGACCAGACAATGGATACTCAGAGAATTGCTTATCAACAGCTACACAGTGATCATCACCATCATCATCAACATCCCCAGATCCAGCACCATCAGGAGCTGCAACAGTATCCCATGCACTACTACCACGATCTGCAGCAGCAGCTGCATCAGCACGACGAAACTCACCCTCATTACTTGTACACTAGTTTTAGGCTTAGTTACGGATACTCCCCTGTAGATTCTCCACCGTCCCCGTCCTCTATAACACTTCTGCACAGTCCAAGTTCCGGGGACATGCCAGACTACCCGCCCGGGTACACCTGCATGAAGGCGCCAAGGAGGAGAAAGCGAAAGTGTCAACAGCAGCAGGTTCAGCAGAGACAAGCGGCCAATATGAGGGAACGGAAACGAATGCAGTCTATTAACGATGCTTTTGAAGGTATGTTGAAATTTATTGACTGTTTCAGTCTTGTATGCTAGTGTGAAACTTGGGGATGTAGGCCCTTTTAAATCTTTCCCATGTCTAGAATAGCTCCCACATAGTCTCCAAACTTTACTGTCTCCATAGTATTATCACAAGGGATGCAAACTTTTCTACATTCATAGTAACTCTACATATCGTTCAAGCTTTACTACATTGATAGTATCTTCCAAACATTACTACATTCATAGTATCCTCACGTGGCGTCCACATTTAGTTCATTTATAGTATCATCACATAGCTTTGAAAATTTACTACTTTTATACTGTCATCACGTGGCGTCCAAACATTATTACATTGACAGTATTATCACACAGCGTCCAAACTGTATTACATTCATAGTAACACGTTACGACATTCATGGAATCAGTACCAGCTGTTTTCATTTACCAGAAAGACAATATCAGTACATAGCATATATTTTTTTTTTCTATCAATGCAATATTAAATTTTTGTTTTAACACAAATTCATTTTCAATATATGACACGCCGATTTTCTAGTATCGTCTTAAAAACTGTACGCTGTACCAAAAAGTCTAACGACTTTTGTCAATTGTACAGACACAAAGATTGTACATAACCTTTACGCTTATAACAAGCCTAACGACACTCATCTTTACCATGAACATCAATTGGAAACATGGCATGGCTTAAAATATTGAAATACAAAATCTAGCAGTTGTATTTATACATCAATGAGTTTTCTTTAATGGTGGCAAACTATTTCCAAGACGTCAGCATTTGCTGCCTTTGATACATTTAAGCGCCTTTTTAAGGTTTAACTAAACATTAATAACTGAGAAGTGATCTAATGTTTGCTGTACATCACAGTTGGTTAGCTGGAACTTTTCCGTCTTCCCAGACAGTGTCATACTGTGCTATGAGGGGGCATGGGGCACATTTCATAGCGATGGGGAGTATGACTAGCAAGACCTGCCCGCGTTGTCTTCCACAATCATAGCATGGGACTTTGAGACCTTTGTTTAAATGCAGCTATACGATAGTTAGAGAACAAGAAGCACAAACACGTCGTACTTGTATCAGACTCTGAAAGCATGCTGAGAAAGGTGAAGACAGGGTTGATACGAGATGAGTGGCAAGCTTCACTGCTAAGGTCACGGATAGGGAGCATACTTTGGATATTTTCTCCAGGCTATAACAGCGTAGTGGGCAATGAACATTGAGATAGGCTGGATTTGCACCACCGGGTGGTTAATTGATACATGCCAAGGCAGATGTAGTCAAGGCTATTAGGAAACAAGCAACTGAATCAGTTGAGAAATATAATTAATTATAGCCTGAAGATAATGAGGCACCTAGGTCTAACGAAAGGGTTTGGCGGCTCACTAAACTTAGAGGAAAGACAAGACGGGACTATAACCAGATTGTGACCAGTACCGTCAGTACTGGAACCCTAAACGGGCTGCTGAAGATAAGGACAGAGCAAGCTTGGGTATTCCCCGAGTGCTGTGATGTCAATTTTTCACTCAGCTCAACTAAGTTCGGAACCTTTGTTGCCATCATTTGTATTTAGCGTGTTTTTTCTCAGACGCTCGGCTCTCTTTTTTCTGCACTAATTTATTCCTTTTTTCTTACTGCCTTCCTGATTTGCATCCTCAACGTAAAACAGTCCTTGACATTTTCTTTCCATGAATCCATCTCAATAACTGTATTATTTATGTTTCCTGTACATGCATCTTTATATCGTAGTAAAGGTCAGCCTCTTAATCTTCCACCCGTTTTGTACCACTTAGGAATCCTTAGTTACTTCACGGGAGTCACCGTGGCGGAGCAGATAGACGCTCGCCGCGGATAGGAAGGTCGTGGGTTCGCTCCGTGGCGGAGCCGGATCTTTTTTTTAAATTGACCTTGGCTCCTAGGTTGACCCAGCCTTGAGTGGGTACCGGGTGCAGTCCCGGAAAGTGGAGGCGGCCGGCGTGATGCTGACCACATCACCTACCTTGTGCCGATTGGTCTATAAAATATAGGTCTAGCCCTACATGCCCTATACGCATAAAGGCTTGGAAAAGGGTCCTTTACTTTACTTTTACTAGTTATTTCACCATCCTAATTCTTTAGGTGTGACCCAACCACGTAGACTGACCACTGAGAAAGCTGCTGTAATATCTGCTCTTTCCACTGCCTCAGTGTTTTTAATTGTGTTTTTCAAATTAATGCCAAGTGTTCTTCCGAGGCATCGCATAAGAAAGCTATTTAACCGTTTGTTCTAGTGCGAATAAGTTTACCATGTCTCACAGCCATAGAAAAAAAGAGTGATGAGAACACAAGAATAGATAGATAAGAACATCGCAATTACAAATGCGGATAATATGCAGGTAGCTTATTTTTCGAAAATATTGTTTTCAAAGTCCGAAATGGAACTGCTATATACCAAAAAAAGATATTTTATCAATGCAGCTTTCATATAACACTATGCGTAAATGTGCAGTTTATTTCAGTGCCAACAATGCCATTTGCGAGTCGAGCGTTAGAACCTTAAGACATACAAGTTAATGGAATTAATAGCAGGCGATGAATAACCTACATATCCTCACGTACCCTTCCAGAATATTACACAAATTGTCCGGAATTCCGTTTGACCACCCCTAGTCAATCCGATTGTGATTGTTAGAGTAGTTGCGTATCCTTTACAGGACGTTGCAGAACCAACCCTAACAGCCCCTGGCTGTTGTGTGGTTTCTCTAAGCAATTTACATCCAGTAGTTTGCCATTTGCGGTAAAAGAGGAAGTGAAGAAGAAGAAGAAGAAGTTTGCCATTGCTTTCTGGACGGTCGCTTTCTTGATACCACTGTCGAAACCAACGCAAGGCGCATTGCGTTAGAGTACGGGGCAATTCAGCTGGCAAGCAAGAGCATTGACCACACACTACCGGAAAATGGAGCCGGTTTGCAATGTCCATAGTCAGTACATTCGGCTGCGAATCTTGGACAATTAGTAAACAAGCCGTACAATTTTTTGAGGTTTCTGGAGATGTGGTTTTACAGAAGAATCCGTAGAATTCTAAAATGAGCAACCCTGATGTTCTGAAAGAGGTGATGGCTCGAAGACAACTTATCACAAACATCAGATATAGACAATCAAACTTTTGTGGCCACGTTATTAGAAGAGGGAAAACCGGAAAATGTTATTACCACTGGAAAGATCTGGGGAAAGAGAGACAGAGGAAGACAGTGCGAGAAGATTTTTGGCAGCTTTTTATCTTGGCGTGAAGGGGTGTCAACACACGAACTGATACACGTAGTCTCGGATCACAGATCGTGGAGAAGCATGACCTCAATCAATTTCTTCTTCCGTATTTCAAAACTGGCTCTATATGAATATTACTTTACTAACCAAGGTCAAAGTATGTATTTCACATCAATTCAAAATTGTGAAAGACGAGTTTGCTGGGAATTAATAACAACGCCAAGAACCCAAACACCGCTATCAACGTTTTTTCTATCGGCTCTTAATTTGACAAACTATTGCTTAAGACTAGTCTCATTTATTTTTATGTTACACATCGAAGACCTGCCTTCTTTTTCTATGATTACTGCTCCTGTTTTTGTTTTTTCCGCAGCTCCAAACAAGACTTATTGTGACTTTATTTCATAAATACATCTATCATTCTTGTAACCGAATTATGAATAAAGCACCCTCACACAGAGAGAGAGAGAGAGAGAGAGAGAGAGAGAGAGAGAGAGAGAGAGAGAGAGAGAGAGAGAGAGAGAGAGAGAGAGACCCGTGCGTCTTCCAATGTTTATATTTTCTCTGTTTGTATCCGTAGGTTTACGGGCACACATACCAACACTACCATACGAGAAGAGACTCAGTAAAGTGGACACTCTTCGCCTTGCCATAGGTTACATCGGTTTCCTCTCAGAGATCGTCGAGACGGACGTTCACAGCAAAGAGAGTACCAAACACACAAGTTCTTGAGCAACCAAAGAAAGTCATTATCCACTGTCATGCGGGTAAGTTGTTTTCTTCGTTGCTGTTTTTCTTCTGTTTCTTGGAAGTTGGTGTAAAGAGTAGACAATGCTGTCCAGTCAACCACCAGGTCTATTCTGCTAAACATAGTATCAGTTTGGTGGCGAGGTCTTTCAGAGGTTACAAACACTGTGCCTATAGCTCGTGCAAACCTGGGTCAGTTCACGGTGTGAATAGTATTCTTCTTATCGATAGCATGTGCAACTGCTGATCTGTTGGTTACCTCTGCTACCATCGATGATGAACTGCATCTCTAATGTCCGACTGTTTTTGTCGGCACTTCGGATGTCTACCGTGTGCTTTTAATGCGTGTGTATTGTAGTGCATATGCTGAGACAGCAGTTTGTCAATCTTTCCACAAAGGACTGTGGTAAACATTCTGTGCGTTTTTAGTTGGCACAGAAGCGGAGCATCTATGGGGTGACCCGTTTGCTATGAAGCTGAAACTAAGATTACGAGATTACCAGTATTTATTCTTGACTTACCGATCCTACCTACCTATCTGGTGTTCTGTAAGTCCCTTCTCAATCAATTTTTTGAACATTTTGTACTCTGTCATGAGAGTTACGTAGTTCATAATGTCAGTGTGAGGCAAATTTACCGTGAAGATAATTGTGAAACACCCTATAAGTAATACCTACCAACATAATATATATATATATATTTCATTATATATATATATATATATATATATATATATATATATATATATATATATATATATATATATATATATATATATATATATATATATATATATATATATATATATATATATATATATATATATATATATATATATACCGACTAACTTTATATTAGGTATTGCTAAATAGAGTCGTAAAATTCTAGCCACCTACCAAGGAGACGAACAATCTGTTGGAGGAGGCGGAGACAGAAGAGGAGGGGGAGGATGAGGAGGAGAAATAAGTAGAAGAAGAAGAAGAAGAAGAAGAAGAAGAAGAAGAAGAAGAAGAAGAAGAAGAAGAAGAAGAAGAAGAAGAACAAGAAGAAGAAGAACAAGAAGAACAAGAAGAACAAAAAGAACAAGAAGAACAAGAAGAAGAAGGAGAAGAAGAAGAAGAAGAATGAAATGCAGTTTCTTTTTCTTACCGTTTAACGGCTGTAAACTCTGGTGGAAAGTTCTGGTTGTTCGATGACTCCTGGGTGTTAGTTCTATCCAGAACTTGAGTTTTGCATTCACATCCGTTTCACAGAAACTGGCTTATTTCTGTAACAGACTTTCGGCTCCTTGCCTATCAATCAAATGCACTTCAGCTTCGAAGGAAACGCCTCTGTTTAGTCGCTTTGTCCGATATAAATGTAAGTTTGTCCGTGGGTCAATTCTCTACCCCCTCCCCCAACCCACTAGTGGGGTTATGGAACCCACACTTAGAACCGATCGCTTTCATTTTACACATGGCTTTATTCAGGCAGCGTCGAACTGGAAGAGGCCATTTTTGAACACTTTTTTATTTCATTTGTATTTGAATCCACGACCTTCGGAGAGTCTAACCCAATAGTTGTCAGCCTTCCTAATGCCGCGACACTTTAATACAGTTCTTCATGTTGTGGCGTCCCGCACCCATACAATTAATGTCGTTACTACTTCATAACTTCACTGGCCCGGCTCTCTAGCGTAGTTAGCTAAACCGGATAGCGCGGTGACCGGATGATGAACTCCTTGTGGTCCGGGTTCACTCCCGAGGGTAGGTAGAAAAGCCACATTTCTCCCAGATTTACGGTATACACAATGGAATCAAGGCCTAAAGGTTGCGATATCCATAATACCGAGCCTAAGGGTTAACAACTCATGGCTTCTGGATACTAAAAAAAAAAAAAAAAAAAAAACTTCACTGAATATCACTGAATTTGTGTTTTGCGATGGTCTTGGCGACCCCTGTGAAAGAGTTGTCCGACCCCCCCCCCCCTTTTCAGAACCCCCCCCCCCTCCCAAAAAAAAAGGGTCGTGACCCACAGGTTGAGAACCGCTGGTCTAGCCGCTACACCATGGCAGCTCCCCTTGTAAAGAGACGTAGTGGAATCATTTTCAAACACTCTCCGACAACCTCGGCGGTGGACCACTAGTAATATCCAGCCTGGGCAGTAGCCACTGACCACTTCAAATGTAATTAGTGCTAAACAACGCTGGTCATACTTGAAAGTCATCGAGGCGACAAGGAAGAAAATGATTTGTATTTGTTTAAACATCGCCAAAACATCTCTGCTCAGGTCACGATGACAACTTTTGAAGTGTTGAAAAATATCTTGAACGAAAATGAGAAGGACTGGCCAATTTGGGTCAGAATGACATTCAATTTACTTGTGTGATTTCTGTGTGAGTGCTAGGGAGGGTAAATTAGAAGGATTTGGCAGTTTAATGGCAGATGGTGTTAAATGGACATAAACAGTTTTACTCCTATGGGGTCATTCTGGTTGAGGAAATACTAGCAGGTCAAGTTAGTCACCCGGGTTTGATTTCTTGTTTATCGTCGTGTGGGTTCCGGGGCCTAATTGTAAAAGGGGGGGGGGGGGGGGGGTGGGGCAAAGTCATAAGGTTCGACTAATAGGGTGCTTGCTTCGAAGAGGAAGTGCATTTGCCTGAGAGGCAAGGAACGAATAATCTGCATACAAGTAAGTTAGATCTGTAAAAGGGATGTGCACGAAACACTAAAGTTCTGAAACAAAACTAATGTCCAGAGGTAGACGAACCACCAGAACATTTCGCCGGAGTGAACGCGAAGGAAAGGGAGAGTCCTTGTTATTGAAGATTCTACGACGTATACAGTTCCTAAATCTCCCAGTCCTAGGCAACGCCTAATACGCTGAATGAATTTACTCCTTGCTATCCTTATATACACGCCCTGTTTCTTTCAACATTTGGTCAAAACATACTAAAGAAATCTGGCTTCTGCTGTTGTCACTTCAACTGTTATATTGCCCACTTTGAAAGTGATGCATCGATGATTGTTTTATTCATCTTATGTCTTCACCTTTATATTTGATGTTTGCCCAGCGTTCCAGCGTAGCTGAATACGCGTTGGACCTCGGGTGACAATACCCATGCGTGTCTGGTCTCGGGTTTAAGCTGGGGGATGGCAGAAAAGCCGCATACTCCCAAGTTAACATTGTACCTAGCATTGAGTCTGAAGGGCTCAGATGCTCAGGGCACTGAGCAAAATGACTGATAATAATAATTAAAAACAATAATAACAATAATGAACACTGGACGAGAACCTTGTGTGAAAAGACTAAAGGCGAATAGGAAATGAACACAGGAGCTCAAATAAATATGCAGTGAATATATTATATGTGTGTGTATGTCAAGGGCGTCTTTACGCATGGACCCACTCGGCACTTGATCGGGGATGGGGCGGCCCACGAACATAGCGGCCCCATGATAATCTGTGTATATGTTTAGTATTATTGGTCGTTAACATTTTATTCTGGCGAATTCTCGTGTGGGTTCCGGGGCTCCATTGTGGGGGACAACCTGAGTGTTGCTTGTACATCCGTTTCACAGGTCTGACTCATTTTCATGCAGACTTTTCGCTCTCTGCCTCTCAGGCAGGTGTACTCCGACTTTGAAGGAAGCATCCAATTACTCGACTCTTACGCTATGCTTTTGGGCAGGGAGTCTATTCTTAACGCGATCACTAATTTCAAAGTCAACAGAGTTTTACTGCAGCAGAATCCTGAAGAAAAGTGTGTCCTTTTCATACCCACCTTTGTCAACTCCCCACCAATAAAGTGAAAACAATAAGTGCGTTTATGTTCGTCTTGTATTTTGGACTCACACTGTCTCAACAGCAAAGTAGAAGAACGGTATTTTTTTCATGCCAGTGGCGCATTGGGCACATGCAGCTTGATTTTTGTAGATCCTGCATGAGCAATCATGGAAAAATCATGCCGGCTGCCTTTACTTCCCAGAACCTTAGCTGGTACGTATTTAAGACTGAGTCGATTGAGAATTGAGAATCAGCTGTACACACAAGTCGTCACTGGAACTGACTCACAGAGTATGTTGAGGAAGGTGGAGACAGACATGCTCCCTGCAGAGTGGCAAGCATTGTTTCAGAGGTCCCTGGTAGTTAGTGTCCTTTGAATATTTTCTCCAGGTATGCTTGTGTGATGGGAAACGAGCAGGCAGATAGACTGGCTAGTCGTTTCTACACCACTTTGTGGTGAATTGATGTATGACAAGCTAGATTTTGTTGAGAGACTTTTGGGAGAGAGTGGATATTACGGAGACACAACTAGAACATTACGGTCTGAAGAGAATGGCGTTGCGGGGAATTACCAGAGAATCTAGATGACGCTCAACACTCAAGGGGAGGACGAGACGGATGTAGCTCGTACAATCAAAAAGTTAGTTGTACCATCAAAACTGGAATTCTTCGCTTGCTGCTAAAGATGGGGACTGATCGCTTATGGGAGTGTCTCGAGTGCCATAACGTCGATTCATAAATGAATATTTAATACGACTAAGTTAACCTGATAGCCAAGGTCAGGTTTAGGGTAAAAAAAGAAAATCCGGCTGCATGCGAATTCGAGCCTAAAACCTTCACATCCCCAGGCGAGAGTCTAGTCCTTGCACTACGAAGGCTCCAACTGTCTCCTCCAAACTGTAACCATATATCTTTCCCGCCTACGAAAACTTGGATCGTTTCTTGACAGAATATAAGCATCTCTTGTGTGTCCATCCAAGTCTCCTGCTTGTCTCTCTCCTGGCTGGTCATAGCCTGTTGACAAATATTGAGCTGTGTGTTTTGTCAAGCAGTCAAATCCTAGACACTGTCTAGATTTGACACCTTAGGCCGTCTACATGATCCCGACCAGCGTTGTAATGTAGCCAGCGACAAAACAGATCTGCTCATTGTTGTATTCTAGTCAAAACTGCGTGCGTGCTGAACAGAATGGAAACCAACACTGGGAAAACGGCTATTTTTCTTGTTTCCCACCCTAGCGTTTACAATACCCTATTGATTAGGCAGTACTTCAGCAACGCTGGTAGATCCTGTTATTTACTCTTTCCGTTACTTTATTAAGTACTAATTATTAACAATTTACGCTATTCAAATTCACCAGTTAGTATGATATAGGCTACATAGTATATTGTTTTGTGCGAATTTGCTTAGTCTTGCTTATTTCATGTAAAATTAATGGGGGGAAAATGGACAATCACACCGGAACCACCCGTAGCTACACATGCCAGAATAGAATGGGAGTTGTTAGCCTCAAACACTTGGAGACATACCCAGGAGGAGATGGGAACACTTATGACTATTTCCGATGTGTGATGATGATGATCTGTAAATGAACAACGAATAATGTAACGTTAAATATATTCTAAATAATTTTAGTTATCTTTGCTTTTCCAATGCAATTGAAGTGTATAGTATAACATTATTCAGTTTAAATGTGGCTTCTCGGCAATAAGGGTTGACAGCAATGAATCTCCGACGCGCTCTGTTTCTAATCATGTCCTATTTGTCCACACTTTCAGATACTGTTTCACCCCCACCC